GCTCATCGTTCATAATCATCGATTTATTATTAATAGCAGAACATTAGGGAAATTAATAATGATAATATTAATAATTTATTGCTATTTTTTTTTTAGTTAATGTTTTAATGAATTCACTAGAAATAATTGTCAAAAAGTTCTATTGCCCTCTCTCCTGATATTGTTTATATATAGGACAAGACCTGGAAAACAGGACAAAAGCATCAACCATTAATGGGCAAATATTTAACTTTTTTTCTTAAAAGACCAAAAGCATTTGTCATCATTTTATTTGGTAGGAAGAACATCGGGGATTGTAAGTTTATCTGAGGGTACATAAAAAAAGAGTCATATCCATAAAAAAATATTTCTCAGATTATATAATCTCCATCCATTCCATTTTCCGTCACGCTTTATTCCTGTTGGGGTCACAAGGGGTGCTGGTGCCTATATCCAGCTACCTACGGGTGAGAGGCGGGGTTCACCCTGGACAGGTCGCCGGTCTATCGCCGGGGCAACACACAGACAAACAGGACAAGCAACCATTCAAGCACAAACTAATACCTAAGTAAAATGTAGAGAAGCCAGTTAACCTAACAGTCATGTTTTTGGACTGTGGGAGGAAGCTGGAGTACCCGGAGAGACCCTACGCATGCTCAGGGAGAACATGCAAACTCCATGCAAAGGGCCGGGAATCGTACACGGAACCTTCTTGCTGCAAGGCAGCAGTGCTTCCCACTAAACAGCAGCCATGAACAGTAGATTAAATAATCTGTTAGGGAAAAATTTAGCACTTTATAAACATATTTACATTCAGCAAATATTTCTGTAATAGAAAAAATTATTTTATTGAATGGAGGTGACGAGACAATATTATAATTAACAGAAATAAAGGCCAGAAAAATACTATAATTCCAAGCTTAAATACATTTCATACATGTTATACATTTAGTCACTAAAATAAATGAACTTTGCAATAATATTCTATTTGATCTAATTAGACAGGATATAATACGCACAGGTTGGTTTCAATGCAGGGCTTTATGTAAACTCAGTGGACTGGAAGTTAACGTAACTTTATATAAAAGGAATTTGTTAGCTTCATTGACAGAAAACTACTCTTGTTAGAAATGTACCTCTACCTATGTATTGTGGAAAAATGAAAGTAAATGTGAATAAAGACTTTCTGATATAAAAAAAACAATCCTTAAAGTTCTCTATTTTGGACTACAGCTGTTTTTTTTTCTATACTTGCGTGCAGTTGAGTTTCTAACAGTTTAAAGTAATCAAAGCTCCCTCTAAAAGTCACAGGGAGGTCTGAATCGAAACAAAATACAATAAAATTAGATGTGATTTAGAATTTTTGCACAGTCTGCAACAAGCTTGACACAGACGATTCTGTTTTTAAGTGTGACTCTTTGGAGGTGCTGAGTAAAATTCCTGGAAGCCAGGAATGAAGGACCCAGTCATTAAACAAAGTTTTTGTGGTTTTACTTTAGTGTTTATTTTCCTGTATTAATAATTTTCCTGCACAAATCTGCTTTCTTCAGATCAGACACTTAGAACTGTAAGCGGGAATATAATTTCCTCCAGAACAGAGTCCTCTGTGTGGACAAACTTGAAGCCACTGAATGTTGTCAGACATGCCCAGACATACAAAGCAAAAAATGCAACTCTGACAACTCTGGTTTCCAGTCTGCATTTAGCTTCCCCTCTTGAACTTTACCCTGGATACTGGGCTGGAGTCTTCTGTACCCCCACCCGCTCACCTACTAGGCCTGGCTTAAAGCCACCAACCCTGCATCTTAAGGTACAAAGAGCCCTTTCTGTCTCATAAATATGGCAGCATATGAAACCTCTAATTTACTCATCTGGTTCTAGAGAAAGATTTCAAAGGTCAAGATTCATTTAGGAGGTTACGCTCCAACTTTTACAGAGCATATCTCTGGTTTCATTAATTTATTAAAACATGCATTTATGTCCAGAGCTTGGTTTAAAACAATCTGATTCTGAAGATCCTAATGGCAGAAATACAAATAACTCATTGCTAAGACTGGAATGTCTTTCATGCACTTCACAGATGTAACCGTGGTGGCTTTACATCACAAAACAAATCTAGATATGAGGAAGATGTAAAATAAGGATGATAAGTTTGCTAAGACAAGCTGTGTAGTGTAGGGTGTCAGAAAAGGACAGTTTTGTTGCTGTGATGTGTTTTTTAGAACAGGCTTCATGGGCAGTTTAGATGGTACTTGTAGTCGTTGTCTTGTTCTTGTTTAGCACAGGTCATGGAGGCATAGGCCTCATCAGAGACTCTGAGACGTTCCTGTCCACAGACCACTCCTTCAGCCCCTCTTGGACGCTCCCAGGCCAGCTGAGAGAAATATAGTCCCTCCAGTGTGTCTAGGGTCATCCTCTAGGCTTCCCCCCTGGTGGGACATGTCTGGATCACATCCTGGGAGAGGCATTCAGGGGGCATCCGTAAAAGATATCCAAGCCACCTCAGCTGACTCCTCTCGATGTTGAGGAGAAGCGGCTCCACCCCGAACCTCTTCCGAATGTCCGAGCTCCTGGACTCATCTCTAAGGGAGTGCACTGCCACCCTGTGAAGATGGCTCATTGTATTCAGGATCTCGATTGTGATCCATGATCACGAGCTTTGCCTTTCAGCTCTGCTCACTCTTTTCCCCAACCCAGCAGTGCAGCGTCTGCACTTTAGCAGCAGCCCTACTCCTCTGTCTACCAATCTCTCCCTACATTCTCCCCTCACGCATGAACAGGACCCCAGGATACTTAAACGCCTTCGCCTGAGGCAGGAACTCTCCTCCAACCATAAGCCCTGGACTTGGAGGAGCTGATTCTCATTCTGTCTGCTTTGCACGCAGCTGTGAACCGCCCCAGTACATGCTGTAGGTTGTGGCAAGAGGGAGCCAGCAGAACCACATTTTATGCAAAACTCAGGGACAAAATCTGCTGGTCCCCAAACCAGAACACCTCCACCCTTGGTTGTTCCTAGAAATCTTGTCCATAAAGATTATGAAAAGGACTAGTTGCAGAAAGTCCAGCATGCAATGGGAACAGGTCCGATTTAGTGCTTGCAACGCAGACCAAACTCCTGCTCCACTTCCACAGTGACGGGATGGCCCTCCGGGACCATCCCCCAAGAATGCCTTCCCCAGTTCCACAAAACACATGTGGACCAGTTGGGGGAACTCCCGTGAACCCACAAACACCAGGTTTGTAGGTTCATGGGATATCATCAGTGGCAATAAGGCCAAAAATACCCGAAAAAGTTTGCCAGTTAATCAAAGGACCAACAACGTCTGACTTAGACAAACTTCATTGTCATTGTATATACACTGAGTGTATACAAAACAAAATGACGTTGCTTACAGCTTACAACAGTGAAATGGACATTGCCATTTAAAGTACAGCAGTGAATGAGAAAAGGAAAACCAGTCTAAAATAAAAATACTACTAATAATAATAATGGTGCCAGAGGACATTAAAATGTATGTATGCTATCACCTATAACTAAGGGCAATTTAGTAAGACTGAAAAACTTACTCTGTCTATATGGTCTGACTAATTTGTTTTCTTTTGGAAAGAGATTAGACAACACTTATAATGAGTGCAGAGACAGCAGGGGCTCCTAGAGTGGCAACAGCACTACTGTATAGTTTTATTTTATTGTTTTTTTTCAGTTGCATCTAGCTTTTTATTAATTTCTCTATTGCTCTGCTACTTCAAAACGGAAATGTACCAACTCTGTGCTAGATAAAGATCAACCTAGGGACTGTTTTCTGGTAGGTATATGGTTAATTCACACTTTGTTTTTTTTTTTCTATTCTATTAACACATTTTAGTAAATAATTATTTAATTTTAATTAATAATTATTTTGTTGTGACCAGAGGTTAAGCCAGATTTTTTTAAAGGTGGCCAGGCAATTACCAATTGCACTGAGGGGTGGCCCATAGCGGATGGGCACCAGAACCTCACAGTCAATCTACACTGTTCCAACAGGAAAATTAATGAGCAAAACATCCCTATTTTCTAAATAAAGACAAACTACACTTTCCTACAGCCTTTGCTGACAAACAGACGCATATATTTAAACATCCGTAATTTCTAGATTAAAGGTATAGTGGATAAAACTTTTTTAGTTTTGAGTTCTGGGGCGTGAATCTTTTCCATTGTTATTACTTACCTACTTTTATCAATAAACATTCTGCATAAAATTGATATTTACGAGCACTAATATCTACATAAATTGATTATATGATAAGTTTTTTAAAATTAAAATTGTTATTTATCTATGATTTCACTGAAGACTCCTAGATGACTTGCAGGGACATAGTTTTCTTTTTACTCCATATAATACAACATCTAGTTCTGAAAAGAGCATGAATTCTGTACCTATCATCTTTGATGTTAGTATATTGATGTGTATAATTAACCACAAAACATTTTAATGTTTTGAATATTCCACTTGAGAGTATTACTGCTGCCACCATGTGTATTAGAGGGGGGGGGGGGGGGGGGGGGGGGGGGTGATGGCCATGGCCCTGTGGCCACCCCTGGCCCCCCATCTAGCTGCGCCCCTGGTTGTGACCTAATTTACGCTGCGAACATGGTTTCGGGTGTACTTCTCACTTTCGTCCAGCAGGGGGCCAATTGTAACTTAGACGTGGGCGGAGTCAAACACTCGGGGTACTTTTTTAAACGACTTTATCAGTGGTTTTATCATAAACACCGAGACGAATCTAAACAAACCTAAAATCCTACACAGCCGTTTATTTTTTCAATTAGGTACAGTGTTTGTTTTTTTTAATGGTTATTTCCTTCTAAAATTATTCAATCATTTTTGCGTTTTCCCCCCAAAAAACGTGTCGAAATTTGGTACTTTGATAAAAGCAGGGAATGTGATTCCCCGCTTTTGTCCAATGTGCGCATAGATTAGGGGCTTTACGATAGTTGGCTCCATCCTCTTTGCGCAGCGCGCGCGCGGCACGAGCTCAGCTCACCGTAAACACAGATAGAAGGAGCCGCTCCGTCTCCGTCACACATACCGGCCTCTCTTTGCTTCAAGTGAACGAACAGGATGAATTAGAGGAGCGGCCGTTTTCCACCGGGGTTCAAGGTGTTGGTGAGACACGGACAGAAACGGCTCCACGGCGCGAATGCTGCATGCAATGCTGGGATGTATTTTTCCACTGCGCTGACTTATCCACACTTGTAGCTTTTATCTGAAGGGCGTGCCTGCTGTTACAGTGACCGAACTGCGCGTTTTTATTTGGAAATCCGTTCGCCTGCAGAGGGGAGGAGGCTGATAGACACAGAGAGCCTGGTCTTCAGGCAGGGGGGGTGGGTTTCTCCACTGCGCTGCGCAGACAAGCTGCTGAGCGGACAGCCTCTGCTGCAAACCTCCTCCTCCTCCACAACAACACGGGACAGGAGGAAGAAGGAAAGGTTGGGAGGGAGACAAGCAGGAGGTCTGTAGGGTGGAAATCTGGACACATACGGCGGTAAAATGACCATGTCCGTCCCGGAGAGGAAATCAGGATCGGAAGGGAAGGAGGAGGAGAGTGAGGATGAGAGTGAGATCCTGGAGGAAAGCCCCTGCGGCCGCTGGCAGAAACGCAAAGAACAGGTTGGTCGCTTCTCTTTTTGTTGTATTTGTCTGTGGTTATGCAATGCATGGGTCACACCGAGCTATTGGTGGTTCCATCAATAAATCTCACAGCGGTGATCAGCTTAGCCTACATGCAATCTATTTCAGGGTGCAGACTAAACACCTAGAGGAGCAGGAGCCTGCACGAAGGCCATCACAAATCTGCATAAAAACACGCAGCTTAGGGTACGATTGTCGATTTATGTGATGAACTGCACAGCCTTCTTTAGGTGGGTTGTGTTTAGTGGGATATTAGGACAAAAATGAGTCCAAGTTTGCTCAGATTTGCACGCTGAAAAACAAATAACACAGAGGAAAAATACAGATTTAACCAGTAGATTTTGGGTTTAAATGAAGTTTCCAACCTCTAAGCAATTCATTGTCCAATACTTTTGTGATAGTTTGTCAGGTAATACAGACTGTTACTGTTTTTTTTTTTTTTTTTACTTGGATGTTATGTGAAAGACCCACATAGTTCTAGACTTTGATTAAGTAGTATGATTAGGATTGTTCATTAATCTCTCTCTTCTGGTTTCTAGTATTTCTTTTATCCATACTCTATTCTTCCACAAACTGTCCCAGCTTCACCATTCCTGCTGCAAAAAGTGTCCCCACAGAATGACGGTGCCTCCACCATGTTTCACTCTGCGGTTTTGCACATTGTTTGAGCCTCGTTTTCCATGTTTGCTCGCGCTGTGATTTTCTTATGCTTTCTTTCTCCACTGACTTTTATCTTAACTTTCTTAAATTAAAGCCATATTTGCCCACATAGCCCCCTTATCAACAGATTATTCCACCTGGGCTGCGTCCCCCAGTTTTGATGGACAGCTATGTTTGCTTTTGTGTCCCACTCTGTTAAATGTTAATAGGATGGGATTTTGTTTTATAACCTTAACTTGCTTTAAACCTCTTGACAGCTTCATCCTTATTATTAGCTGTTTGTTTTCTAGCGTTATATAAAAAGAAAATCAGGACTTAACAGAACAGCTGGATCTATACTGTGATTGCATAATCACATTTGGACTCTGATTATTAACTAGTTGACCTCTGAATGTAGCTGTAATTTGCTCTCACTTTAATTTGGTGCTTAATGAGGCCTTAGTGGGTGTTTTTCTTTTACTTAAAATTCAAATATGTAGACTACATTAAAAATTTGTGTTTGTAATGCGACAAAAGTAGGAAACGTTTGCTGTGAAAATGTTTGCAAGTTGGTGTGTGTTAACAAGTAGGATTATAGGAAGTCAGAAGTTTAAAAAAAAAGTCAAAAGACTGCAGGTTTTTTAGGGCTATTTATTAGGGCTGCAACTAACAATTATTTTGCAAATTGATTAATCCGATTCATAATCGGATATCCAAAGGTTCCTTAAATAATTTTTATGAAATTAAACCAGGTGAAACTAAAACTTTTCCACTTTAGGAGTTCTGGATAGAGCATATTGACAGGAGAAAACGTATGTTTAATTTTAAATACAAAATGTTTGTATTTTTTTTCACAATGATTGGTTGCTCTGCCAGCCATATTAATGTTGTAGAGTCTATACTCCAGTTAACGATTAATGGATTACTAAATTAGTGGACAATTATTTCAATACATACAATAAAAATACATTTAAAATGTCATTGAAAAAAATAAATGAATGTAATTACCTGTCTCTGCTTGTATAAATACATATAGAGTAAAGTAATTCTACATACTTTTAGGGGGGCACCAGGCCATTGTATTTTTATTTTTGGGGTCACAGGGTGAAATATTTGGGACCCCCTGATCTATGCTATATTTCATCATTTGTACCGTAAACATAATCTTTGCAGCTTTAAAAACATGTCTTTACGTCATAAAGTCATTGTGGTTCAAGAGGATCATTTCTGGCAGCTTAACACGTGAACAGGAAGTGTTCTATGATTTATTAAGGCAGCACAATTTATCAAGGATCTTTTTACTGATCAAACAGTCATAAATAACCTGTTTGGAGATTGTTGTTCAAGAAAAAAAAAATCATTACAAGCTCCCAGGAAAACTTTTCTTTCCCAAAAAAAATAACCATGAGTAATCGTAAAAAAGAAAAGGTTTATTTTCCATTTGGATCTGTTCAAAAAAAAAAAAAATAATATTCTGTCTTCACAGCTACCAGAAATGTGAAATTAAACGATCTGCACTAATTGGAACCGTCTGATTGGCTACCACTGCAACGAACCCTTTAACAGCCAAGCCTTGAAGTGCGTGGGGCTTTCTTTTTTGGTCAATCAAGACTCTAAAAGGGACAGAAAAGACGTTAGCGTCTGAAGTAGTGAGTGAGTGACTAAAGTACTGTATGTTTAGGGGTATTTTGCTTGAAAAATAGATTGCTGGGTACATTCATTTAATGTCTGTAACAGTTATAACAATGTTTATTGATTGGGGACGTGTGGACTGCTGGTGATTCTCTACGACTGTGCCTTCAGCTGCCCGATCAAGTGGAACAGGGGGTTTCTTGGTCAGAACTACGCAGTGTTTGACAGAAATGTCAGGAGTCAGACAGGAAGTGAAACAGTGGCAAAGTAAAACAAATCAGCTTTGGGGAAAATGCATACCCAAATGGGCAAATGGGGATGTCGAGCTTCTTCAAATAACATGGGGGACAGTGGCATCGGATGCAGGAGCTTTCACAGCAAAAGTTGTCGGTTCAAGACCTTGCTCTGACTTTTGGTGTCGTTGTGTACTTGGGGAAGACACCTTACCTGCATTGTCTACTGATGGTGGTCAGAGGACCCGGTAGCGGCACTGTACGGCACCCTCGCTTCGGTCAGTGAGCCCCAGGGCAGCTGTGGCTACAATGTAGCTTGCCACCATCAGTGCTTGGTGAATGACTGAATGTAGTACAAAGCACTTTGGTCAACTCCTCTGACTTGAAAAGGCGTTATGTAAGTACAGGCCATTTACCATGTTCAAGCGCAGTTTAATGTCTACCTACAAACCGGCTGGTGTTTCTAAATATGGGTTTTATTATGTGATTGGAGGATTTGTGTTACATACTCTTTAGTAAATACTGGATATAGTCGTATAATGTAAGGTATGATCCAGTTTGTCTCCTCTGGATTACAAGACATGTAATCTTTAGATCTGTGGTTAGAACTGTGCTTTTGTGCTTCTTAGGTTTAACCCATGTTAACAAGTCAGATATTTTCCAGGATCTCGCAATAGATAGGTAGGATCTGGTAAAACTTGTCCAGGATCTTGCAATAGTTACTCATGGTAGGGTAAAAACATTCCTAGGATGTCGCAATAGTAAGTCTGGTTACATTCATCTATTTTCTCCTCTCCATTTTCCTTGCTCATTTATACTAAGTACTCTACTTTTGCACTTCTTTAATAACATAAAATCTCAGAAAAATCAATTCAACTGAACAAGTTGAAGATGTCGTTAAAACCTTTGCTAGCTGCTGTGTTTTTGATCTGGATAAACATAACCATTTTAGGGCAGTTAGTGAAGGCTTCATTAGCTGAAGAAATCGTTGATCTCTTTCCTTTGATAGTATTTCAAGGAAGCACGTAAAACTTTAACCAATTGTCAATCATCAGACACAATATCGGCCACTGATTTGAGTTAATAATTTAACTGGTTTAATGGTCAGCTGTTGAAAGTAGAAGCAAGATTAGAACCATCTAAATATTTTTTTCTAAATATCCTGTCAATAATGATTTGTCTTTTAATAATTTAAAACGATTAGTTATGAAAAACAAGAGGAGACACAAATTGCAGGGTTACTCTAAAGGAATATAACACTGCGCTTAAAGCCTCCTCTGCCATCAATTATCATGTGTTTGTTTTATGTCTAGTGAATCTATGTCATTCTCAGTCGGTAGATTTACAATTTTATAACTCCAACACACCCAATTTAGCATTTGTGTGATGAATCTAGGCGACAGGGTGAAGAAACAGGCTGCTGGATGTAACAGTATTGTGAAGCTGTGGGTGTTGCCACCAGCTGCTCCAGATAAGGTTGAGTATTTAAGTTAAAGATTATCTCTTATACACACACAGGGTCTCTGAAGACCAATTTAAAGTTCTCTCTTTTAAAAAGAAGACACAGACCCACAGGACTCCCTGCCCTCATGAGTTTCCACCCATTGATTACCAATGCTGTCTGAGCCGTCTGTCACATACTGCTTTGTACCTCAGTGAGCTGACATGATCAGTAAAATAGTAGAAGGTAAAATATAAGTACATGTAAGTAATTTTCTAATCTTTGTCAGAAAATGTTTTTTTTTTTTTCTATTTTTGTATATTTTCTTCAAAGAGCCCTGAAGTTCTTTAAATATTCTTCTTTAATGATTTTTTTTCACCTACAATGATTAAAAGATGCAAGTTTGAGGAAGAGCCTTTAACAATGGGAAACAGCCAGTTATATTCATTTGTTAACTAATTTGAAAGACATATTCTATCCTTTATACAGCTTTTCCTTCACATGTGTTTTCATGCTAGTTCAAGGTAGTCAAGTTATGAATAATTATCACTTAATGTTTGGATCAATAAAGTTGGGCATCACAGAGTTCTTGTTATTGTCTTTCCAGGTACCGGGTTGCTATACTAAAAACTAGCCCCGCTAAGCAGAAATTCAAGCCACCACACTTTTTTTTTGAGTGTATTTCCCCCTTTAAAGTTATAGTGGAGGATGTTGTTTTTCTGGGTGGATCATCTAAATAAGTGGTCCTCCTAAGTTGTCAATCATTCTGGTGATATGTGTACATAAGGCTGTCCTACGTGCTCGTCCTCTTAGCTATAATTTTCTGTGCGTGCGCACTTTCAGGCGTATATCTGTGGTGAGCTTCGGTTTCAGCCAATCATTGGAGCTCACCTTTCTCACAGCGGTTCTTTGATAATGGTCGTAAGAGAAAAAAGTGTCTACAAAGTGTATGAAAAGAAAAGAAAGGCCTCAGAAGAGGCAGACATATCCCGCAATGTTTGAGCGGAGCGCTCTCCTCGCAAAGCATCATGGGA